AAAAAAAGAGGCGCACCAATACTGAATGCAAACGAATTGCACAAATCCAGAATAGAACGAAGCCTCCAAAATAAAACGAATTGCACAAATCCACCACATATACAAACGAATTGCACAAATCCAGAATAAAACAAAGCCTCCAAATTAAACCCAGCAACAGAATGCAAACTTACTTGTGCTCAGACTCAAACATAAAGTTGTAGAAGAAGAAGAAGAAGAGAGAGACGGAGAGGGATAGAGACGATGACGAAGCGAGAGAGTACAGTGATAACTGAGGCGAAGACGAAGCGGGAGGGGGGAGAGAGAGCGAGAGAGCGTGACGGAGAGGGAGAGAGAGATATTATCTTCCTTAATTATCTCAATTAATTTAAACAATTAAGTCTTAGGTATATTTGCAATATTTTAGACTTATTTTGATACAATTATAAATATTGATATAAAGGGTGTATAATTATAATATAATTAGAATGTTGAAGTAAGGAGTGTAAATTCCTCTAATAGCTTTACATTGTAATCAATAACCAAATAGCAGTTTGAGATACTTTGGGTTTATTTTCTCAAGTAATGGTTTCATATTTTGGTCCTACAAAGTTAAAATGTATCCAATTTCAGGTAGTAACAACTCTGGAGAAAAAAGATGAACAAACATTACTGTTCTCATTTTCACATGATCTCATAGCGAAAAAGGAAGTGCAACAAAGAGAGTGGAGATAACCAAGACAAACCAAAAGAAGCAAAGCTTGATTACTGAAAATCTCATAATTAGCCCACCACCATAGAAAATTGATAACTGTTGAATTGAAGTGAGGTTGACCGGAATTTGTTTGTCCTTGTTTACGGGACTTGCAATATTTAACTTATCAAGAAAATCTGAAGAAGCATAAAACACAATGAAGAACAGAATATATCAATCATACATGATGCAATCAGCATCTGCACCATCTGATTCAACACAAGAAATACGACTATCACAGTAAAAAAAAAGTTCAAGCTTCGTAACAAAGTCGTAAAAAGCACACAGATTATTTCACCTATACAACACCCCACTATATTCAAAACACATTTAAGAAACAAAGAAAGTAAAAGAAATAAACATGAAAAATGCATACACATCCGCATTAGAACTGATAGTATTTCAGATTTTTTTTTTCTAGTGTGCTCCCTATTTCACTTGCGTCATATTTCTACAGTCATTTTACGACTCATTCAAAAAGACAGCACCATAACCGTTGGCTTTCAAGAACTTCTTCAGCAAAAGAACAACTATAGCGATGGTAAGCCCAAAAGCCGCCCATGTGAACAAACGATCATCTGCTGGTTTCGGTTTTTGAACAACCCTTGGCTCTGGATTCTGCATCAGCTGATGTTCAGTCGAGGGCACACTTGAATGATTTGCATTAGCATTTGCAGCCATCTCAATAGGTTCTTGAATGATTTCATCATTTTCAGCTGGATTTGGAAGTGTTTCAGTATGTCCTTCAACATTGTTTTGAGGGCTCTGCTGATTTTCATTGCTTCCAATGTTTCGTTTTTCGGAGGGCTTAACGTCTTCAGGCACTGACTGGGCTTTACTGAGCATATATTCGTGGATCTAAACGGAAAAAATTGTCAGTCAGGATGACTTCAAAACACAAATAAATAAATAAATAATAATAGTAAACAGATAAACCTATGTCCATGTTCAATTTCAAAACCAAGCTGGCTACCACCCCTTTTCATTATAAGTTTAATAGCTAGAATAAAATAAAATTAATTTAAGATTTCTCAATTTATTTGCCCAATAAAACTTCTCTTGCTCGGAGAAAAGGAAAAAAAAAATGCAGAAGAAAAAAATGAAACAGGGAAAGGAGAAAAGAACCTCATCAATTAGCTTTTGGCGATCAGGAGACCCGAAAGTTGGAGCAGCTTCACGAGACTTAATTGCAAGTGCTCGCCTTTCTTCTTTCGTGTAATCTAAGGATCCCAATGCACCATTTGGGCTTGTTGGCATAAATGCAATTAAAGCTACCAAGGCAGTGCGGACTGCAGAAATGGAATAGGAAAAAAGGGGAAAACCCACACATGAGTTTCTAATTTATACAAGATAAATGAGTATGGTGTACAATTTCATGGTGATCAAATATATGCAAGAATTTTTTTTAAGATGCACAGCCAATGTTGTATTGAGATCGATTACATGATGTGGCAGCTCATTACTTAGATAAATCAAAGAATCCTCGAAAGAAAAATCAGTCAAAACTCAAAACCCATGACGTTGAACATAAATTTAAAAACATTCACAATAGAGAGTAATGTTCATGATGTCACCAGCGGATAACTGCACAATGTAAAATGTTGCATGAGGCAAATGTAATCAAAGCAAATAGTTCCCTTCAATCATTCTCGTCTCTCGTTCACGAATCATGTTAACGTGAGAGCGTACTTGCTTAAGAAACAGGAATAGATTCTTTCAACTTTTGGGTTCATCTAATTGGATACCGAATGATGTGCGTGTGGTATAGCCCATGAAAAAAAATAAATAAATTTACAACAGAAAAAAAGAAAGAACTGGAAACAATATAAATTTCTCAATCACGAGCATACCGCTCCAGGATGGTTGCCAATGCTCAGGGTGATGGTTTGAGATGCTCAAGCAGATCTTGGTTTGGGTTTCAAATCGACCATTTGGCTGTTTTAAATAAAACACTAATTCAGAAAGAAAACCATATAACCACCACATCAACACGTGAATAATTATTACTGGTGAACTGCTATGAAAACTGATGTAATACCGTCAACAGCACAAATGAAGGTGGATTGAAAGGATAGTCAGCAGGCAATTGAATTCTTCCATGGTATATTCCTCCTTCAAACTCAGAGTCTCTTGGCCCCCTAATTGCAAACTGCCATTCAAATATATTTTCCTGAAGAAAATATTACAAGAAAGATTAAATATGTGCATGATAATTCGGACATAAACCTGCAAAGCGTTTGAAGTAGAACCCTAAATCTTAAATTTCTATGAGTTGTCCTTCTTCAAGTCTCAAAATTGATCAATTCACATCCGTCACTGATAAAAGAAAAGGGAAATCATGGGCAGCTAAATGCTAAATGTATCTCAAGTTACACAGCATATCAGGCAACACAATTTCTCGAAATCGAAAAAATTCCCAATTCTATTATATTGAAGAAATCGCTGAACAAGTTCAAAAAAATTATGATTTTTTTTCTGAAACTTGAGATGCATCACTCCCTTAAAAGACAAATTAGCTGAAATAAAGATTTCACGCGAGATTAATGAATAATAATAACAATAATAGACCTCGATAGTATACATTTTCTGTAGAAAAATGAAACTGATCCCAAATCACTTTTACAAAACCAATTCATCTTGATAAATCTCTTCGGCAAAAAGTTAGATCAAGACAAGATAGTTTTGAGGAAGGGAAGACGAATAAACACACACAAAATAAAAAAAAAANAAAAAAAAAAAAAAAAGCAAAATTCTTGCGTCGATGATAACTAAAAAAATTGATAAATGATACCTCGAGCGGAAGGCTCATGAAATCATCGGAGGGATTCGATTGCATCTCCTTAAACTCCTGCAAAATCCTCTTGACGGAGGGGTTCTTGCGATTGTACTTGTCTTCCGCCATCTCTAGCTCTGCAGTGCGGATCACCGAAAATTAGATAATCAGTTCGTTAAAAGTAATTTGAGAGAGAGAGAGAGATTACTGCATCTGCGTGTGTTGGGTGGGGGCTGGAATATATATTTATCACGCGCCCCGGGTTACACGTCATTTCTTTTGAGAGCAGCTGACGTGTTCCACCATTATTGGCTATTTTCATAAAAAAGTTTAAATTTAATACCTAAAGGTAAAATTGATTTTTAATTTTAATTTAATCAATATTGGTCATAATAATTAAAATTGACTATTTTTTTTTATTTAAAATTATTAAAAAGTAGTTGTTGATATTTTCTGCCGTGGGTGGGGGATTTAAATCAATTATATATAATTTTTGAAATTCTTGACATAATTTATTCAGATATCTCCATTTTTATCATATTATACTTTAAAATCGAGAAAATTACAATTTAATTTTTTTAATATTCTTTTACCAAATTATTTATGAAAAATATACGTATAAAATATCATTTATTTGAAGAATCCGACAGCAACGAAAACCGATAATATCTCCTCGTATATATTAATATAGAATGCTCCGATGCTATGGACTTCTTGTACATCGTAGTCCTATGTGTCTAATTTCTCGTGCTTCGTAATATATGTGTCAATTTCTGACAACAATCCATTTAGATCTGGGTTCAACCCATAACTTCTAAAATTATAAACAATTCAAAAACTTAAATTCTAAATATATTTAAAATTTAATGAATTTTAGAATTTTATTATTGCCATCAATTTTTCATATTAACTAATAATCAACCCGTGCATTTGCACAAAGAATAATACTTTAAAAAGATAACAATATAAAAAAACAAAAATAAATCATAATTTAATTTATGAAAAAAAATATGAATTAAGAAAATAATTCTCAAACTTGATTTTGATCAAGTAATTGCTATGGAAGAGCCGTTACAACCATTTTCTTTATGCTAATACACCCGAACATTTTAATGAGTGGGTGTGACTTAAAATTTGAGTACAGTTTTGTAACTCCCTTAATTGGTTTATGCTCATAATTTATGGCATTCAAGCAAGTTATTTTGTAACTTAAAAATGAAATTGATTGCTGAAAATTTTGGAGGGAGAATAAAATTTAATGCATGAAAATAAAATTTAATGCATGGTACTAAAATTAAATGATGTGATGCTCCAAATTATATAAATATATATATATCAACTGTCATATTTTGACGGCCTTCGGTTGATATCTATATTGAACATATAAGATAAATAAATATTTTTTAATTTATTACTATAAAATTAAATCATTTATTAATTTTAATATTACTAAAAATTAATAAAATTATATATCGATTAAAAAAGTTATGTAATATCTCATTCAGTAATTAATAAAAGTAATTATTCTAAGTTTGAACTAATTACTTTTATTAATAATGCTCGTTCCTAGTTCCGAGCCAGTTATAAGTTATTCAGTTAAAAATTCGACTTTAAGTCGAAAGTATTCTCGGTTCAGTTTTATTCAGTAATCGAGCCAGTTCAGTAATTAATTAATTCCGGTCTGTTTATTTTTATAAATGGATTTATAAGACGGGATTTATTAATATAAGATGACAAATAATCGAAATTGAGTATATTTTGATTAATCATTTAAGATAAGTAGTGAACTAAAACCAAGTATGTTCGGTCATGAGTTGAGTCTTAATTAAGTAATAGTCGAGCCTGAATACTAAATACTTAGAATTTTTCTAAGTGTTCAAGTCATCAAGATAAGATCATAGTATCGAGCCTTAGCACAATTTGAGACAAGTTAAGTCTCGAAGTAAGGTTAAGTATCCATGAACATTTAAGTTATAAATGTTCAAAGAAGTGAGAAAATTTGTTTAGACATTATAGTTTATTTAAATTATTTTAAGAGAAACCGAAATTTTTAGAATTTTTGGTTTTACGGTAATCGTTCGGTTTAAGTTCGAATGTGGTTCCGTAAATGTTAGAATATTCCAAGATCATTATATTAGCTTCTAAGAAGTAATATGTTCAGTAAATTGAAGGAAAAACCAGGAGTAAAAGATTTAAATTTTAGAATTTTCAGTTTTACGGTAAACGTTCGTTTTAAGTTCGAATTGAGTTCCGTAAATTTTATTATTCTTGTTTTTCTTAGTATGTTCTAAGACCATATATGAGCATTAATTTTCATAAAAAGAGTTTTAAGAGTCAGCCATTTTGAAAGAAAATACATAAGAAATAAAAAGGATAATTTTTATTATTTTTATTATTTTTTTTCTAAAGATTTTTATATGATGAATGGTGATATTTTTTCAATAATATATGGAATCAATTACGTCACATTAAGCACGAAATTTTGCTCGTCAATTGGTGAAAATGAGATGAGAAAATCACAACAAAGTTTTGCTAAGTCTTTAAGTTAGCATTTTTTTCAACAATTGGTGAGAATTTTATTAAACTTGGTGGACTAAGTTTTATCTACCAAAAAGCTCATTCATGGCTATAAATAGAGGCATTTCAATCAGATTTTATCATCAAGTATCTTCTCAAATCATCATAGTTTCATCAAAAAGATAGAAAGAGAGAGAAAAATAAAAATAAAAATAGTAGAGTTTTTGAAGAAGTCAAGGAGCAACTTTAGATTTTCAAGCAAGAAGGAGGTAAGATGCTATCTTTTAAACATGTTTAATAGATGATATTAAATGTTTAATAATGTTTTTATATGAATTAGATATTAAAGTTTTATATGAGTATAAGCATGCTAGAAGATAAATTATTTCCAGCTCACATATATGTTATATGTGTTCAATTATGATGAGATTTTTACTTAGCTATGAAAAATCTGGAAATATATGCTTCCTATGGTTATTTCTTGTGTAAAAGAGGAGTACATAGGATCAAGAATCAAGTCATTTAGTTTATTATAACTCAAGATATGAATTTTTAAAGTTTATCATGCAAGCTGAATTTTATGTACTTGGTTCCAGCAGCAACTTTAAACTTGAATAAGTTGAGATATATGCATGATAAAATTATGAAATTTCTATGAAATGTCTAAATATGAGTTAAGAACATGACTGCTAAATTTCATGATTTAAAGTTGAGAAATGAATGAGTTAAGATATTTAGACGGCAGATATGTAAAGATGATTATATATGCAAGAATATTCATTATATGTTCAACTTTTAAAGTGAGATTATTATGAAATATTCTCATATAAGTGATGAACAATTTGACAAAGTTTTAGTTTAATATGTTGAGTATACAATTTTATAAAGATTGTTCTAAATCTCACATATTAAGATCATAATTTAGTATTATGATTAAAAGTTGTATTGTATGAGTATTAAGTTGAAATATTTAGTACCTACAAGTTAAGATGAGTTCATTATTTATAAATCATGAATATGATTTTGAGTTTAAATACTCAATCAAGTATAATGTGAAATTTAGTTATTTTCACACTCGAGTTATTTAAGTGACATGCGAGTATAAGACAATATCTATGATTTTGAAGACATGATTTATAATAGACCTTAGGTAAAAGTTCAAGAAAAGTTAAGTTAAGTATTAACTTGAGCAATAGCATATCTATTAAATTTCTATAAGATTTGGATAAGTTAAGAATCCTAGTATCTTATTGAGTATACGAGCATAGTACTTAGTATATTTGTTTATATTTTATGTAATTTGCAGATACAATTACCCAGTACAGCACTTATCGTTTTTCAAATGCTTTCAAAGACAAAAGGTGGGGAACCAGCCTGGGTATTACATTGAGTATAATATTGATATCATGTCCGAGGTATGTATACAGTTTAAGTTTATACGCTTGGGATGAGAAAACATTCAGTTGTCTTAGAGTATATCCTAAGTTCTGATGGAGGCTGCTTGAGTTGCCTTGAGAAATATCCATCAGATTGTGCACAAGTATTCGTACAGATATCGGCCAGATTAAGTTTCAGTTACTGGAACAGATTTCCAGTCCAGATATATACCAACGATCATGATATTATATTATTATTGATGTTTACTTTAGTATGGGTGATTTCGGGGTACAAAAGGACCAGTACTCACCCCCATTGTGTTTTTCAGGTCACAGGGTCGGTGCAGAGGTGTGAGCTGAGCAGTGCTGGTGGGGTCGTGGATTCAGAAAGTTATTATTTACGAGCACATTTATTTATACTATCTGTATAATTAATCACGTTTTCATGTATTTCCGCTACGCATACTAAGCCTTGAACTTGCATTTTATTTCAGATTTCAGTTTTCACCATTTCAGCAGTATGAATATGGTTCAGTTTAAATGCAAGTTTAAAAAAATTTGTTTTCTTTATGTCTAAACCAGTAAGTTAGACAAGGTTTAAAGATAAACGGATTTTCATAAGAGATAAGTTTGAGTAGCATCCCGAGTAAGCGCAAAAGATTTTGAAAAAGTTATAAGTATTTTCGAAGTAAAAGTTGCGAAAATTTCACTCTGATAAGCGAGGTGTTACAAGTTATATATAAATTCAGTGCAAATGTGATATGGTATATCATACCTTCACCAAAACTCATATAACTTGAGAGAAGCTCGGACGGTTGGGCATAACCGGTAGCTCGACGGTAGATCGAATAGTATACTAGTTTAAGGTCGAGACAGTGACGGGTCGTTGGGATTTGGACAACAACAGGTCGAGATAGGACTATAGGATAGTCTGTTAAATGCCTAACCTGGAACTTGTGAGGTTGATCGTCGACCTGAAATACAGCTTTTGGCTCAGCAAGGCCAAGAATAGTCAAAGTGGAAGTAATTGAGTTATTTAACTCTGTAATGTATAGAACAACTACCTAAGGAGGTAGAGTAATCTGAACGTATCAGATTAAGAACAATGTGAATACGATTGGATAAAGATAATACTTGGGTAACAAAATTGTTTGGGCAACAAGATTGGGCAGTCCAGGCACTCAGGCAGTAAGATTGGGCAGATCTGGATCAGCCTGAGCACTAGGGCTGCGAGATTAGACAAATCTTGTTCAATAAGGTAGTGACTCTTTATAAAGTGCTGAGGTATGATCTTCATTCTACTTCTACTCTCTTAAAATTCTAAGT